CCGGTTATTTTATTTTAAGAAAGATTTTATAACTGGTATTTATTTTGTTTGGCTTCATGGTATTTGTGTTATTGGCATAGTTCATCAGATTCTGACTCAGAACTATCTACTAGTCCTATGCCATTGTCAGTTACAGCCCACTGTGGCAGATCCTCGTAGTGAGAATCTTCCTCTTTTTTTAGTCCCTCTGCTTTACCAGGGAGCTTTGGTAGTTAAGTCTGTAGAAAGCTGCACTATAGCCAGTCTCTTCAGTGGTTCAAATCCACCAGTGACTCTGTAAGAGGAATATGGGTGGTCTCCTCATGTCGTGATTTGCAGACATGGGATCTTGAGGGAGGGTCACCCATGACTCGACAGCACTGAGTTTGTTTTCTGCTTTACCAAGCATGATGTCCTTCTTTAAGAACTGGTCTTCCTGACACACTCAAAGTACATGAAATGAAGCCTTTTCATCGTCATGTACAAGGGTTTCCTGGCTGTCTTATAAGACAGATTTCTTTGTTCTTCTCAAGTCCCTGGTACAGTCAACATTCTTTCTTAACATCATAATTCAAAGGCATGAATTCTTCTTTGGTCTTCTGTATTTGCTGTCCAGCATTTACATTCATATGATTAGAAATACCAAGGCCTTAACCTTCAAAGTGGCTTTAACTTCCCAAAGCATCATTGTGTTTTGGGAATGCTCTTTTGAAGCAGATTTGCCTAATGCAATATTATGTCATTTGAGTTCATGACTGCTGCTTCCAGGGGCATTGATTATGGAACAGTTTCCTCTCTTCTCCATTTATCATGATAGCCCTGTTGTGAAGCTTTTTGTTTCGCTCATGATGAGACATTAATATATATTGCTGAGGTATAATATAATATGTACTGTAGTCCTTGATCTTGATCAGTAAGGGCTTCAAATACTTTTCATTATTGGGAATTAAGATTTTGTGACCTGAATATCACAGGTTGTTAATGAGACTTCCTCCAATGCTGATATCACATTCTTGTTTCTACAGTGTAACCTTTTAAATTTACTCAATTTTTATCTATTTCAATCCATACTCCCCTATCTCAAATATAATGATGCCATATTTATCATTTGTGACACACAAAAGTTTTAACTGTAGTAAAACATATTTTTGCAACAGAGCTTTTCCCTTGTCAGTGTTCTTATAATATTCTTGTAAAGGATTATGGAGGGATAGAAGAATGCTTACTAAATGGCTTTGTTAAGGTGAGATCTTAATGTTATATGTGAAGAACTATAATTTTCCATCATGATCTCATGGTTTAAAGTATTCTACAAGTAATAATAATGTGAAAAAATTAGAAATATTTTTACAAAAACCAGCATCACAGTAGTGAAATGGAGGTATTGACTTATCTCTGCCCTTTTCCTGATACAAATAGGACATGACTGATGACCTGGACCACTACACCAATACTTACCAGGTCTACTCCAATGATCCTAAGAACTGCAAGGAATTCCTCGCCTCACCAGATGTCATCAACTGGAAACAGCATTTGCAGATCCAAAGTAAGAAGACTGACATGTGTGCTGACTCACTTCTTCATGCTTAGCAAGTTCTCCTGTGATTTATACCTCTCTCACACAAGTTCAGACCATAGTCCTTTGGGCTCTTGGGCCTGCAGCCCTTGGGCCTGGTATGAAGACTGATTTTCCTTTAGAGTAACAAACTAAATTGGCAGTTTGTTGTATTTGGGGGAGAACATTGTTCTAATTGGTACAGCACTTGTCTGTCAGTTTGCTGTATTGAGATAACTTGTGGGTTGCTGTGATACTGAAAGCTATGCCACTGGTGTGTTAAACACCCTAAGAGGTACCCCTGGTAGACAGGTTTTAGTAGAGCTCCCAGATTAAGACAGACTAGGAAGCAGGTTTGGCCATTCATTTCTTAAATAACAGAGCTTTGAAATCCCTATGAACACTAGAGAAATGTGGAGTTATAACAGTGTAGTAATACAGCCTAGGTTTGAAGTCAGTTGAAATGAGGAAAAACAGTAACAAACATAATTTAATAATTTGAGCATGGTAGCTTAAATGTTGGAAAACGGGCAGTTATTATAAATGAAGTAGAACACATGAACATCACCATACTAGAAATGAGTGAGATGAGAAGAGATGGACCAGCTTTGGTCCCTTTGCATAATGAGGCTTCACCTCACGTACTTCAGGCAGGTTGCTAGGAGAGGCTGTTCCTTGGAGAGGGACATGATGCTTGGAAGGGTGGAGAATCAGTGAAGGAGAGGAAGACCCTCAACCAGGTGGATTGGCACGGTGACTGATAGAGTAGTCTCTAGTGTATCAAGAAGTGTGAAAATATACACAGGATAAGATGGGGTTCAGATTTGCTCTTCATAGGGTCATTATGAGCCATGCTCAATAGATAATACAGTACCTAACAACAACAGCATAACTCACAAGTTCTAGCCCCTCAGCCTATGCCCTATTTTATTTTCACCCAGAAGCTAGATCTAGAACACAAGTAAGAGAGAAAGCCCTTAAAGCTAATAAAGAATGGGTTTCATATACCAGCTTTTATCAAGTTGACTCCAACTCAAGGTAGCTTGACATGTGTCAAAACACACTGTGCATCCTAAGATTTTCATTTTTAAAAATATTTATTATTATTATTATTATTATTATTATTATTATTATTATTATTATTATTTCGTGTGTGTGTGTGTGTACGTACTGTCGAATCAGATCCGATTGGTACTAGAGGAGATTGCCCCTCCTGCTCCAGCGGAGCATCTGGTAGATTTGAACCGAATGCCTTTGGGATTGTGGTGCAGCTTCTTGCCACTATGCCACCAGATCTCCCACCCTGAGGTTTTCAATGGAAGATTTTCGGAAGTAAATTTGCTTGTCTTTCTCCCAAGGCACCTCTGGTAGACTCAAATTTCCTACCATAACCATTTTAAGCAGTGAGCCAGTCCAGTTTTCATATTGTTAGTAGATGCCAGGAGGCACCTATGACTCACAGTGACCCTCTGAACAACAAAGCTGAACCTTTCCCTATCCCGAGCCATCCTCATTATCTGGGATATGCTCAAGTCTGTTGTCGTTACAGCCTTGGCAATCAATGACTTATTACATATTTTACAAAGATAGCCAGGACTCCTTAGGGTGACTGGTTGTGGGAATAGATCCTTCCCTGGGGTTGCTTTTTCTAGAAAAATGATGACAGCTCATTGCAACACACACTACATCCTCCAGATTACCAAGGGCAGCTGTCGTAGTTATGAGCAGGCCCTCTGAAGTCAGACAACCCAGGATGGCATCTTTGCCCTTTCTGTTCTTGATGTGTGATTTTAGCTAAATGACTTCTCTCAGAGACTTGTGTTCGTCTATGCAAATGACTTCAATAACTGTGCCTAAAACATGTTGGGTCATTGTATGTTAGAGTAAGCAGGCATGCTCCATTGCATCAAATTCATTCTGTTCCAAAGCAAGTGGCCAGAATCTACCCCAAAGAATGGACACTAATATTGCTGTTATTAGGTGACTCAGAGCCACCGTATTAAAACAGATCTAAACCATGTATTATCATGTTTAAGCTCATTGTTACAGTCACTGTGTCAATTCATCTTGTTAAATGCAAGATGAGGATCTTGGGCTATTACTTAATCACTTACTAGTTAAAATCCATCATTGGTTCCTTGGGAGAAGATAGTCAATCTCCTCCACTGTGGTTTACAGCTTCCAGAAATGCATTCCAGCGTCAGCTATGAGTTAGTTCTGACTCAATGGAAATAACTTTTCATTTGAGGAGCCTTTTTATCTCTTTTAATCACTGAACACCATAGTTATGTACACTAGAAACCTTGGTTACGTGTTAGCATGGTGATTAATGTTAGTATCATGGCCAAATAAATCATTAGTCATATTTTCACTTGTGCAAAATAGAGTAAATTGAACAAATACTTAATACGTAGTGCTTAGGTCATGCAACAATAGCACCAATGCAGAATCAAGATTTTATGGACCTAAATGCCAGACACTTTCTATTCCACTTGAGAATGTCTACCTCTAAGATATTTAACTGATTGCATCCCTTCCTATAATCCCGTCTAGGTACACAGTCTAGCCTGAATGAGGTTATACAAAGTCTTGCAGCCACTAAATCCTTCACGGTGAAGCGATCTCAGAACCTTCTCTTTATGACGCCTCAGACCACAAAAAACCTAGTTCCTTTCTTGCTGGATGAAAAGAACTTATCGTCCAAGAATGGCAGACCCAAGGCCATGTGAGTGTGACAAAAGCTGTTCTGTACCACACAGAGCTCTCACAACTACAGTAGACACCAACTTCTTTCCCTGCTTTAGCTTCAAGACTACCAAAGTAGGCTTGTCAGTCTCTTCAGCATGCGTCCTTCTAGCTCATTCCTCTACAACAGGCTTTCGTTCTACCCCTCTATCTCACCTTTGTCTCTACACTTTGCATCTCCTATTTCCTCCACCTAGTCTGTCTCTCAGGGTAATGTACAAAACTCCATAAAGCTTATGGATCGCAGCTCATGGCGACCCAGGCGTTACAGAGGAGAATTGCTGCTCTCTAGTGTTTCCTCAGCTATACTCTTTAGGAAAGCAGACCAGCAGCTGTTTGTGCCCCTGGTGTGTTGAACCATCAAAGTTTAGGTTAGCAGTCGATGTAAACCATTTGTTGTCACCAAATTACCATAGATTTTCGTGTTGCTTGTGTTTGCTGTTGACATGATTCTGACTCTTAGTGCTCTTATGTCACACAGTTAGAACTGTCCCCGGGGGGAAGGGGGGAGGGTTCCTGGGCTGTCATTTTAATGCAGGTAGGTCACTCAGTCTTGTTCTGACAGAGTCATTGAGTGGTGTGAACTTCCAACCTTTTGGGCTAGGGCCAAACAACTTGCCCTAATAGAGCTTCTTATATACTTACGGGTTTTTGGTGTTGTTGTTTTTTTTCTTGGCCCCTCCACAGCAATGAAGATATGTTTAAACTTTCAACCCCAGATGTCACCCTTGCTCCGTTAGTGAATAAATTTTGGCTTTTTGGTGGCAATGAAAAGAGCCACAAGTTCATTGAGCGCTGTATCAAGAACTTGACCACCTTCTGTCTCCTGGGGCCTGAGGGAACTCCTGTGTCCTGGTCTTTGATGGATCAAACTGGAGAGCTAAGGATGGCAGGCACTCTGCCCGAGTACCGCGGACAAGGCCTTATCACCTTCACGGTCAGTTACCACGCCCAGACTTTGGAAAAACGGGGGTTTCCCATCTATTCTCACACAGACAGGAGAAACAAAATCATGCAGAAAATGAGCTATGCATTGCATCATGTCCTCATGCCCAGTGACTGGAACCAGTGGAACTGTGTACCTCTGTGACACTGGACACAATACAGATGATGGGGGGGGGGGCGGTATCAAGATGGCCTGTAGATGGAGGAGCAGATGACTGTTTGTGGTTGTTGGTTTTTAGGTGCCGTTATGTTGACATTAAATCATAGCAATCGAACGAACAACAGAATGGAACCTGGACCTATCCTGTGCCATCCTCTCAATATCCCACATGTTTGAGCTCTTTGTTACAATCACTACATCAATCACTATATCAATTCATCTTGTTGAAGATCTTTCCGTCTTTCTCTGACCTTCCACCTTTGTGATCATGATGTCTTTTTCCCTGCTGAAAACATGCCCAAAGTATGTGAGATGAAGTTTCACCGTCCTTGCCTCTAAGGACTACCTTGGGTTGTATTCCCTCCAAGACAGATTTGAAAGACCCTGAGATATACAGTATTCTTTGTCAACATTACAATTCCAAGACCTTGATTTTTCTACAGTCATTCTTATTCATTGTCCAAACTTCAGGGACACAGGAGGCAGCTGAAGATAGCATGGCTTGGATCAGGCACACGCTAGCTTTACAGCTGATTTCATTGCTTTTGAGTACTCTGTAAAGGTTCTTGGCAGCAGATTTCCCCCAAGGTAGCACGTCTTTTGATTTCGTAACTGCTGCTGCCATGGGTATTGCTTGTGCACACAAGTAAAATGAAGTCCATAATATAGAGGAGAAGAATAAGTTGTAACCACTGGTAAAGGAGGAAGCACTGTTTGGGCTTTGAGGAAGTAGAATTGCATGGTGAAAAAGAGCAGCCACAGCTCCAGCCCTCACAGAGCTCAGACATTCACCCAGCTCCTCAGTACAAAGCAAGTTCATGCATCCCTTCAATGGCCTCCACCTTGCTTAGCTACACACATTTCCAGAATTATTGCAATGTTGCAGACCGAGGGTAAAGTATTTTTATATGTACTAATAATGAGACAGAACACCAAGAATGTAAGAGACAACAGAGGTAAAGCGGAGCCAAAAAGTCCTCAAACAACTGAAGTAAACTGAAGCACAGATTCCAGGTTCCCTGTCTTGATTGAAAATGTCCAGAGAGTAAATCACAAAGAGAATTCAATGCAGGTAAATAAAGCTAAGCTTTTTCCATTGAAAACCTTCTGCTTGACTCAGGAGGGAGGGATTAGCAAATACAGTGCAAGAATCCTGTAAACCTTTAAGGATTGCCTTAGTGTTTACCCCTGTAAACCTTTAAGGATTGCCTTAGTGCTTCAGAATTCATTTCCACTGGTACCAGCCTCCCTTATAACCTGAAGTAGCATTCTGTGTATTACAAATATTTAGTATAAAATTTGGCTTTCCATACTATAACACCCTTTCGTCAACAGCATCCATGACCTCTACTCATCTAGATGCCAGTAGCCTCCCACGTTCCAGAGTTACAACCAAAAGTATCTCTGTATATCCAGATATATGACCTGGAGGAAAAATTGCCCTTGGTTGAAGACTACTGGTTGAGAGTTGAGGTTCTCAAATTTGAACATGCATCAGAAATCTTTGACCCACTTGTTAACCACAACCTTATTGCTAGATTCCCTTCCCAGTTGAGCTGACGTTAAGTCAAACCAAGAATCTTCATTTGTTCCAAATTCTCAAGTGATCTCAATATTGCTGGTCTGGAAACATCCTTTGAGAATCAAAAGTGTAGAAAAATAGTAGAACACGTCTTACTCCCTAAGTCAGGGGATGGAAATTCATCACCCACTTTACTTAGGCATGTTGTTGGTTTTACTTTGTAGTTACAATGGAAACTGTGTTCCATTTAGTTCTTAATATTACTTCATACCTAACTACTTAAAATGTCTCTAAGTTTATCATTTAGATGGTGATAATATATTTAATTGTGCTGATATAATATTATTTACTCAGCCTTTTCTTGTTGGTGAACACTGAGGATTATTTGCTTTCATTTTTCTGTGATTTCTTCATTTTTTCCCCTCTTTTTGCCATTCCTTCTTTGTTCAAATCTTTCTTCTTTTTCTTAAACTTAATTTATTGAAGAAAATCTCCAGATCTGAAATGGCAAAATCAATGCAGGCCCACATTCTTGGAGCTCTTGTTTTAGACATCCAGATGTATATTTCTCCACGTGAAAAGCACAAAAATGAATCTGTTAAATTGTCTACAATTTTTCTTATTTCAATAACAATAAAGAGTAACTGATCACTTCTTATGTGCCTGACTCCATTCCATGCATTTGGAACATGACAGTGAACAAAAGAAAGATTCCTTGTGGAATGAAAATCCATTATCACTTATCGACACATTACAAGTTCCCTCCGTTATATACAAGTAGAGTGTTTCTTTGAGCCCTTTCATAAATTGGAATGGCATAGAGTAAAATTTGGAAGCCAGAGTGGCATCCACTTCCTAAACAATATGCCTCTAGGAACTATGAACATTAATAAATGATGATGTTTATAGAAAGGCTTCAGGCCTTTTGTTCATAGGGTCGCTATGAGTCGTGCTCGACTTGATGGCAATCAACAACAACAACAATTAAGTAAAAAGCAATTGCCGTTGTTAAGTGCCATCAAACCAAGTACAACTCATAGTCACCCTTTGAACAACAGATTTGAACCCTTTCCTGTCCTGTGCCATCCTCATCATCTCTAACACACTTGAGCCCATTGCTACAGTCACTCTGTCAATCCACCCAGTTGAAGGTCTTAAGCAATTAGCACTAATTTATATGAGAACTTTTTTTAGCTTTCCAATACCTTAAAAGTAACTGATCAATCACACCAAATAATACATAAAATCTAAAATCACCATTGTGTGTGGTGTGTTTTGTTGTGTGTTGATTGCCTTCCAGTCAAGCATAACTCATAGAGACACTATGAACCAAAGGCCAGAGCCTTTCTATAACTATTGTCATTTCTCCAGGTTCATGGAGTTTCCAGAGGCATGTGGTTTAGGATGTGGATGCCACTCCTGCTTCCAAACCGGTCTTAAACTGGGAGCTGCACCAAACACTGTCCACCATGGGCAGCTGTTAATGGCATTTGATCCCCAATGACACAAGGTTCAGCTTCACAGGAAACCTAGATTACCTCAGTACAGCAAATTGACAGAAGAGTGCTGTACAACTTAGAAGAATGTTCCTCCAAAATAATAACACTAGGCCCTTGGGCCCAACTGACATTTAAATACCAGGGCCCTCTCTCTATATATATAAATAAAAGATGAACAAAAGGCCTGAAGCCTTTCTATAACTTTCATCATTTCTCCAAGTCCATAGAGTTTCCAGAGGCATGTGGTTTAGGAAGTGGATGCCATCCTGCTTCCAAACCTGAATCAATCTGGGAACTCCACCAAGCACTTCCCATGATGGGGAGCCAATTACAGTGTTTGACACAGTGTTTGACACATAGTTGTCCATCATCACAGCAACTCTAAGTTACTCCAGCAAATAATAAGATCACTGCAGTACCACTTAAAAGAATGTTCATACTGTGGCCCTCAGGCCCTGCACCATTTTTAAATACCAGCATGCCCAAGTGCTGGTGGACAAGAGCCAGATACCCCCAATTGATCTGGCAAGTCCCATTTGCTGACACCCATTTGGGGATGAAAATAAAGTCACAGGAGCCCCGAGTAGCTTATATATAACCCGTAATGATATGAATGGTACACAGACATTGTTGTTGATGTTGTTATTGTTTGCCTTTGAGTTAGGAGCAACTCACAGCAACCCTATGAACAAAAGGCCTGAAGCCCCTCTACAACTATCAACATTTCTCAAAGTTCATAGAGTTTCTGGAGGCATGTTGTTTGGGAAGTGGATGCCACTCCTGCTTCCAAACATGTCCTAGTATATTATTAATGCTATGTGCTGTTGAGTCACATGAGATGCATAGCGACCCTATGTACAGCAGCTCTGATCCCTTCCCTGTCCTGAGCCAGTCTCACTAATTCTGACACACCGATCCCCATTGTCCCAGTTACTGCGTCAGTCCATCTCATCTGGGATCTTCCTGTCCTGCGCTGTCTCTCCACCCTTCTGAGCATGATGTCCTTCTCCAAAGACCGTCCCTCCTGGCCACGTGCCCAAAGTATGTGAGACAGAGCATCAAATTCCTAGCCTCCAAGGAGAAACTTGGTTTCACCCTCTCCAAGATAGTGAGAAATGAGTAAAACTTTTAATTACAAAATGCTAAAATCTTAACAGCCTGTAGTAAAACAATCTTTCCCCCTGCCTGTGAGTCAATGAGTCTTTGTTGTTGTTGAGTCAGAACCCACCCACAGCAGACCCTCCAGCGGGTTAATCGCACAGGAGGAGATGGCCCATCTTTCTCCCAAGGAGCGGCTGGTGGATTTAAACTACGTGCCTTGGGGATTGCAGCACAGCATCCTGCCACTAGGCCACCAGAGCTCCTTATGATAACTTTAATTACGTGTATATTTCAAATATGAGAAGTATCATTCACGTCGGTTTACCCCAAGTTTTCAGACTAAGACAGGCAGAATAGGAAGGCCTGGAGATCGCCTTAGGGGTGGGTTGCAATGGGACGTCACCCTGTTTTCTTGCTTTGACATGGCAGCAGAATGAACCAGTTGCTGGAAGACATCATGTTTGGTGAAGCAGAAGGGCAATGAGGGTGTGAGAGACCCACAGTGAGAGAACTTGGCAAAATCACAGCAAAACAGACCTCAGCATTCTGGTGGTTACATGACCAAAGTCCAGAAAACATCACATTCTGTTTCACCTGAGTTGGAATCAAATCCCCCGCAGCTAGCAACAACACCAACTTTTTAATATTCCAGCAATTTTCTGGGGGTTACATTACTGAGTTACCTTCTTCACTGTTTAAAGTGCTGTTTTAAAACATGCTGATCAATATTTGTCACATTTACATATATTTCAGAAAGTGATTGACTTGATTCTATGTCCCTAACTGCCCAGTTCTAAAGTCATAATAACAATATACTAATATATTATGTCCTGTATCTTTACTAGGCCTCTTTTTCACACATA